GGAGAGAAAAACAAAGTAAAAAACAAAATAAAAGAGGAAAACGATTAATCGATTATTAAATTAGTCAACGATTATTTTAATAATCGTGGCAGCCCTAATTTCAATACGGCCGAAATACCACCTCATCCTAGCGCAAAAACATTTTGTCGAAAAATGTAATTTTTTTTTCGAAATTGACATGTTTCCATTGAGCAATTTTTTTTTCTAAATTTTAATTTGCGCATTTTCATGGTCAATGGAAACGCTACTGTGTAAAAGTCATCTAGCTACCACAGTACCTCAGACCTTTAACCCTAAAACCCTGCATGGCCCAATGGGGTCTCACTGACTTTTGGGCAAAAATGGTCTCGGCCCAGGAAAGACAAGAAAGAGGTAAGAAGAGGAGAGGGGATACAGGAAAGGAATGCAGGGGGTCTCAGGGAGGAGGGGGGGTTTTTGAAAACATTCCAAACTTTCACAGTGGCCCTATTCATACATCATTTCATTCACTTTTTTTATTCAACCATCTGCTTTACAGATGCACATCTATACACCGGAACACATACCGGTGTTTYAATGTTGTGGTTTCAGTCAACACGGTTGTTTAATTATACACAATCCAAACAGAACAAAAAACAAATGTAAAACCTGAAATATAAATTGGTGCTGMAATTCACTTCTCATTGTAATGGTAGTCATGTGTAACATTATTATGCATTTATTAAAGTTTAAACTATAAGTGTCAACRCCCATGAGTGAATTGTTTTGCCAAAAATGCTGTCTTGTGCTTATAACCTTTTACCTTATTTGTGGGGGGGTGGGGGGTCCATTTATAGCAGAGATCGACGTGTACATGTTGCAAAAACATTTGTAAAACATTCAACAATAATGGTTAATGGGGTTAAATTAGTCGAAGGGAGGGTAAAAATGAGCGGTGTCTTGCCTGGTTTGGTGATGCTCTGGAAGTAAAGCACAAGGACGAAGAGCGAGCAGAGGCACGTCGCCAGGAACAGACGTCCTCCTCTGGGCATCCCCATCATGAAGTCCCGCTCCGTTGGCGGAGCCCCMGACCCCTCGTCGATGCCTCGCCACGGTTCATGCGAGTCCGCTTGGACGAGGACGCGAGACACGCGAACGAGAACTGAACGTGTGCATTATTTTACTTTCCGAAAAAAGAAAAAAAAATAACGACGAAACAGCCAGGAGTGGCGGCGTTGGCCTGCTGAACGAGAATACAGCCGTGAGCGGAACTTAAATCCAGAACTCTCTCTATGGTCGGGGTTTTCAACCGTACTGATACTAAAATAATAAAGAAATTACAACYAATGATTTGAAAAATAATTCTACTACAATACAAGAGTCGTCAAAGACATCGAAAAACGATGAATCACCCGATCCGATTTGCTCTTTGATTTCTTTGTTCCCCACATCTACAGTATGGTGTCTGAAGTTTTTCGAAGAAGAAACAAACTTCTCCTCCGGTCCGCTTCACATGACGTCACACCCCAACCCCGTTCTCTCTCTCCTCCGTCTCGCTCACGGCTGTGACGCGTTTACAAACCTCTGGTACAAAAAAARCTTCCCTCAAATTTGACATTTTCATTACACCAATGACACTTGGTAAGTGTTCTGTATGACACGAGTTGAAAATCGTATTCTACTTTTTCAAAAAAAATACAGTAAACAGTTTCAAACATAAAGACGTTCGTGTGTGGCCATCGTTTTACAGTGTSACTTAATGTACGAGCAACACTTGAAAGCAACGTTTTACTATAGCTGCTCTTAATATTGGGGTCATGAAACCAATGCTGTGGGGGTCCCTAAATAATATCTATACATTAATTTACATTTTTAAATGATGGCATATTTCCACTGTTATTATTGCAAAATATAGATATAGAAAGTAGTCATTCGTTATTAAAACTATTGTGGAGTTTAAGAATTATTTCATTGCCATTATATGCCTA